CTTGTTTATGGGTAACTTTCCCCTCTGTCTTAGTTTCCTTGTTGTTACTGTACCAAATTTAGTGGCTTAAAACAACACAAGTGGATTATCGCACAGTTCCGGAGGTCAGGAGGCCAGAATGGCTTTCTCTGAGCTGAAATCAAGGCGTTGGCAGGTCTGTCTGCATTCCTTCTGCGGTTCTAGGGGAGAATTTGTTTCCTGGCCTCTTTTGGCTTCTAGAGGCTGCCCGCATTCCTTGGCTCGCGGCTCCATCCTCCGTCTTCAAAGCCAGCTCCATAGTATCTTCAAATCTCTCTCTCTCTCTCTCTTTCCATGAGAGCAAAGCTTTTGGGACACCCCCTGGGCCAGATCTGACTCCCTGAGCCCAATATGTCCTGTCTTCTTGACTCTCCGGCTGGAAAGATAACCCACATGCCCACCCACTGGCCCAGTCACACTCCTGGGGCCTCGGGGGTCTTGGTTTTACCAGCCTGGCAAGGAGTGGGGCCCTTTCCTGCACTGCAGCTTGGTTGGCTGGAAGGAGTGTGGCTTTGGGGTCCTGCAGACTGAGCCTGTGGTCTTTGGGAAGCTCCTCTAAGCCACTGAGCACTGGTTTTCTTGACTCTAGAGGAGAAACAAGAATGGCTCTCTTGCCAGGCTTTTGTGGGAATTAGAACAGTGTGCACAGTGAACATCTCCTGGTGAAGTCCTAGCAAGTGGTGGCAATGGCTGGGGTCATTGGTCCCCATTCCAATGTCTACTGGCTGTATGAACTTTAAGCAGTTGCTTCATCCCTCTGGGCCTTGGTTTCTTTGCCTGTAAAATGGGCAGAAGCAACTTGCGTGGCTGCAGTGAGGACTGGAAGAAGCCCTGAGGAGAGACGTGGGGTGGGTCATTAGTCCTGTTACTGTAGCCATGGTCTGGGGGAGAGAGATGCCTTTCCCAGAGCAGAGTTCCGAGAAGCGCCGGACTCCCAGAGACTGAGCTCCCGGGCAAGGACAGAGCAGGGCCATCAGCTGCTGGACCTCCCTGCCCTGCACTTCAAGTGGCTTTTGTGAGGCCAGCAGCTGTCCTTGCCTAGTGGCATCTCTGGGGCACAAAAAAGCAATGGGGGAGGGGAGCGGGGCAGGCTGAGTCCTTGTTCCTGGGCCAGAGTGGCGGCAGCTGTGGGTCACTGGGGCTCCTCTGACCTCCACCCCCTCCCAACACCTGTCCAGCAACCAGGCCCATCCCAACTGGATTTGGAGCAGCCCCTCCAACAGCGCCTGGTCAGCATGGAGCCCCCGGCCCCACGGTGCCTATCATCAGGGCCCGAAGGAATAATAAAGTTGAAGAAGAGGTGGCACTAAGGACCTGGGGGCGGGACACCTGGGGCCTTGAGCACCAGGTCACACCTCATGGCACATACCTCCTGGGAGGACGGCTCTAATAAAACCAGTCCTGTGTCAGGCATCCATGTGGGCTTCTCACTATCCTCAGCCCCCCAAGGAGATCACCCTGTGGGTCCCCTTCTACTGATGCAGCATCTGGGGCTCAAGGGGGTGATGTAATGACTGGCCCAGGCCTGCAGGCTGGTGACAGGCAGCAGCTGGATTTGAACCCTGGCCTGCCCGATGCCAGTCTGCCCCCTTGGCACGAACTCAGGTCCCTAGTGGGGAGTAAGTCAGGTGCGCTGATACTAGGGAGGAGGGTGTGGTCACGTTCTGTCCAGAAAAGCACTGGCCGGACCGAGCTGAAGCTGGAGCTGGGCACGATGACCTCCGGCAGTTCCAGGCGGCCAGAGAATTCTAGAGCTCCCCCGCACCCTCTGCTGTTCAGAGCAACGCGTTTATAAAGGGAAAGGAGCCGGGTGGTGATGATTCAGGAAATCTGCAGCCACAGTGAAATGAGAACCTCATAATGATGGTGATTAAAAATTAACACCACTGTTTGTACAGTGACTTGTGAGTCCACTTAGCAGCCGTGAATTAATTAATAAATGAAAACACAGATGCCGGGGACCCGCTCCAGGGCACGCAGAGAGGATGGGGTGGTTCCAGAGGGGACATCCCAGCGCTGGGGCCCCCGCTCCCAGCCCGGCCCCTTCTCCAGGCATTGCCAGGGCCTCTCCCACATGCGGCACACTTTTTGTCTTTGCTCTATGGGGGCGCCCGTCCACTCGGGAGCCATGAAGTAGGGGTGTAAGTGGGGGTGAAGGGGGTGCTCCCCTGGTCTGAGGGGAGGCACAAGGCCTGCGAGGTGGGAGACCCAGACCTGACTCCCAATTCTGACGCTCATCAGCCATGGGACCATGGCGATCACCCAACTTCTCTGCACTTTTATTTGCTCATCTGGAAAAGGAGTGAGGACTTCCGAAACTCAGTTTCCAAGTGGGAAGACATCTCCTGAGGCTGCTGTAACAAATGATCGCAAAGGTGGTGGCTTAAGGCAACAGACACGCTCCCATTCTGGAGGCCAGAAGTCCGAGATCAAGGTGTCCCATAGGTTGGATCCTTCTGGAGCCTCTAAGGGAGGGGCTGTCCGTGCCCCTCTCACCCGTGGGGTCCCTTGGTAGCTGTGCACACCCAGTCTCCTCCCGTCGGCCTCACCGTGACCCCTTCTCTGGGTGTCTTTTGTATCTCTGCGCCTCCCATCTTCCTGTCTTTTCTCTTAGAAGGACACCAGTCATCTGAATTCCAGGAGGATCTCGCCTTGAGAGATCTTAATTGCTTCTGCAAAGACCCAGTTTCCAAATAAGGTCCCAGTCACAGGTCCCAGGGTTGAGGGCTTGGAGTATCTTTCTCGGGGAGACAATGCAACCCACTACAGAAGGTATTTTGGAAGAGAAAAACCCTTGAAGGCAAGGTGCCTAATGAGGCAGTGGGAGCAGGGACTCCACAGGTACCAGGGCCAGGCACACAGGTGGGACGGGGAGCCCAGGTGGAGGGCGGGACCTTGGCTGGGAGAGGCCGGTAGGTGCTGGGGGTGGATGGAGGGAGGAGTCTCCACAGGGGCCTCCTTCATTCTCAGCCCTGGTGATAAACTCTTTTGGGCCACTGAGGTGCTGGGGGCACCCCCGGTGACATCTCCAGAGCTAAAATTATTACTTTTTTCCCCCACTAAGTAACCTCCCCACAACCCATTCTCCAGGGTGCTGTGTGTTTCTCTCTTAGCCCTGCAGGAGCTCCCCACCGGAATCGTGATAAAAAACCAAGCCCTAAAAGGCACTCCAGGTTCAGGGCCCTACGTACCTCCCCAATCTTGTCACCCAGCACTTCCCTTCTCTAAACCCACGCTTCCACCACACCAAACCCTCGGCCGGCTCCCTGCCGCACCCACCCCTCGCCATGTTGCTTCGTGGCCCATGATTTCCTACTGAAGCATTCCTCTCTTCTGGAACATTCTCTCCCTCCATCATCGCCAGACTCTCCTCTGCATAGCACGCTCCCCTCTTCCCAATTATCACTCTGTTACCAAGACCCCCGTTGTATAATTGTGCTGGTCAGCGTCTCCCCCACTTGACTGGGCTGCCTCTGAGGGTAGGGTTATGGTCCTTGGTTCTGGGGTCCCCAGCTCCTAGCACAGAGATGCTCTGTGGATGCTCATGGAAGGAAGTCACCAAGAGACCCGGATCTGAATGTTCCCTGTGCCCGTGGCCTTGCTGGCCCTCCATTTTCTCACCTGCCTCCCCGCCAGGTTAGTAGAAGGGAGCCTTACAAGGAGTCTGTGTCGACAGATGAATGCGTTTTGGAGACACTCATCAAAGTCCACGGATAGAGCCCAAAGAAGCAAGGCCACCTACGGGAACCCTCCGCTCGCCCCTCTGCCTTCCTGTGAATGTGGTCGGAGGGCAGCCCAAGCTCCTGGGGACCCCTGCGTCCCTTCCCCGCCCCTCCCCGCCCCGCCTTCACTCCAGGTGTCTACGTCTCCAGCTATTTTTTTTCTGATTCCAGGTTCAAAAGAACAACAAATCTGGGAGCGACAGCCACGGGGAAGCAAAAGCAGGCAGGCTCCCTCTTGCTGGCCCGGCCGTGGGCCTGCCGGGTGCCGCCCGCCTCGCTCGGCTCGGGCCGGCCCAGGGCGGAGGGCGCCCGGGCTCCGCGGGCATCGACGCCCAGGCCACTCGGAGCCTCCGCTCCCGCTCCCGGGAAGGCCAGCTGGAGGCCAGAGCAGGGGGAGGGAGAAGGCCGCCCTAGTTAGAGCCCTAACATGCTCCTTTCAAAGCCTTTCAGACGTCCCTGCCCTGGGGCAGGAATGGTGCAATAATAATAAAACAACATTTGCATAGAGATTTCGTTTACAAAGCACTTTCTCAGGGGTGGGAGGCGCCGGGGTGGCCCCTGGAATCCTGGCTGGGAGGCCGCGGCCCGCAGCTTGGGACTGCGCGCGAGGTAAACAAAGCGCTATTCATCTAAGTATTTACGACTCCTCTGGGTTTCATTCCTTTTCCCCTCTCTCCTGTGAAGAGCCCAGTCTGGCTGGTCACTCAGGCCAGAGGAGGGGTGTCAGGAGTCCCGGAGGGAGCGGGGGGCTGGGACCCGAGGGAAGGGAGGCGGGGAGGCGGGGAGGCCAGGCCTCCCCACCTCTCCAGCCCTCGCCCCGCCCCCGCGCCCTCGGTCTCCCCAGCTCCTGCGAATCCGGGAATCGGAGCAGCCTCGCGGGTGGTTTGTGCAACTCTCCTCACAGCTCACCTGTGGCTGTGTCTTCAGGTGGAAAGTCTGAACACAGGTTTGGTAACGTCTGCGTGTGCGGGCTGCGTGTCTGGGAACGTACAGATAAGCAGCGTGGGGGGCTGTGCTTGTCCCTCCCCCGCCGCAAGGGCTGCAGGTGGGAGTTCTGTACACCGCCTGGGGTGGGGGGCCCCGGGGGAGTCTGCACCTGCGTGGGGGAAGGGGGAGGACAGCTGGGCCCCGCTCTTGTCTGGCTGTGCCTGGGGAGCCAAGCCTGGGAGTCATCGTGGTCATGGGGGTCGGCCTCAGAGCCTGGCCCCTTAAGGGTCCTGATGTACATACATATAGTCTCCACCTGCAGCGTGGGAGCAGCCTCCAGCAGCCCCAGCGTGCGAGAGAGGATGCAAGAGGTCATTGCAGGGCTGGAGCGGTTCACCTTCACCTTCGAGAAGGATGTAGAGATGCAGAAGGGCACTGGACTCCTGCCTTTCCAGGGCATGGACAGTGAGTGAGATGGGGGACCCCGCACCAGCCCTCCCTCCCTCCCCCAGGCTTCTCTGCAGGCCTGTCTGCTCAGCTCCCCCACGGGGCGGCCCCTGCACTCGGCTACTCGCCAGGGAGATTGAGTAGGGGCCTTGGGCCCACAGTCTGGGATACCCAGCTTTGCCCCCTCTCCTCTCAGGCCTCCCCTCTTACATCCTCGCCAGGACTCCAAAAAACAAAAAACAAAAACGGGGCTGGCCCTGGGAGAGCAGAGACCCCAGAGAGGTAAATTGAGAGAAGCTGGGAAAAAACCATCTTGGTGTCTCGAGCTCCCAGGCTGGCCTTGGGCCCTTCCATTGCCTCTGTTTCAGAGTTGGGGGTGCTTAGACACCGTGTTGAGGTCCGGAGGCCAGCATCCAAAGGGAGAGTCCTTGGGGGCCCCCAGGCCCGAGCCTTGGGGGTGGAGGAGAGGCCTGCTGCTGCAGCCTCTGAAGATGCTGCCTCCTCTACCTTCCTCCCCGTCCAGAGTCGGGCTCAGCTGTGTGCAACTTCTTCGCTAAGGGGCTCTGCGAGAAAGGTGGGTCAGCAGGTGGGCCTGGGTGGGTGGGAGCAGGGCTAGGGTTCAGCTGGGCCTGGAATAGGCTGTTGAATTTGCACCTAGGGAGGGCAAGGTGGGATGGGAGAAAATTTTAGTCTTACAACAAGTAGGCAGAGGGCACATGGGTGGGTCCATCAAGAGCCCTGCCCCTCCTAATCGCCCCCCACCCTCCACCCCAGGTCTCCCTGATTCCACAGCATTGATTAGGGGAGTCAGGGATGCCCGAAGGAGACATTCCCTTCTTTCCATCTTGCTGGGGGTGGGAGTGCTTGTGGGTGTCAGCTGTGTCCCCCCAGGGGACACAAAGAAGTGCCCCCTGACTTCTTTGTTTTCCTCCCAGCCGGGAGAGTGGCTTCCTTTCCCCACTCTTGTCCTCTGAATCTATACAAGACCTGCTCAGCTATACAAGACCATTTCTTGTGTCCTAAGAGAGGTCTGCCCACAGCCCGTGAAATGCTACAGCAAGCACCCCGATTTCTCGCCCACCCCAATGTGGGTCAACATGATGCTCTTCCAAACCCCTCTCCCCAAATGCAGCCACTCTGGGCAAATGTGGGGCTTCTCAACTTTTCTTCTGGTTCATGAACCGCTCACAAGCTCTTCCTATAGAAATATAGTTGCCCCAAATTCTTGCTTCCAAAATGGGGGTCTCCAGTCCCCCTGGAGATCCAGGTTAACAAACTCTAAATGAGTGTAGGAGCTGCTTTTGGGATCCAAGTGCTTCTGTTTCGGAGAAGCTGGGAGGCCAGGAGGAGCCCAGGCAGGGGAGGACCTGGAGCCATTTTTGCCACGAGCCTCCTTTATGTTTGGGCCAGCACTGGGTGAGCGGGTGAGGAGGGAAATGAGGTCACTGGTCACTCCTGGCCTTGTGAAGCCAGGACCAGTGATGCGTCCTGGGGTCCTGCCTCCTCAGCTCCGCCCTTCCAGGCTCTGGAGCAGTGGCTCGCAGTGACGCCCCCTTGGAGAGCAATAGGACTGTTCGTGGGTCCAGAAGGTCAGACCCAGGCATCAAAGGCCAGGGGTAAAGGGTAAGGCTGTTTAAAAAGAACACGTCCCCAGCGCCCCTCAGGTTCGATCTGAGAGATGGCCAAGCGGGAAGCCAGTCCTGCTCAGAAACTTAGGAACCGCGGTGTCCTTCCGGCTGAGGGCAAGGCCACCTTAGTGAAGACGACAAAGAGTTAACTAGAACACTTCCATTTCCTCCTTAATTGTTACAAAGTTGGCTCTTACGTCACCAAGTTAGATCTCCGGAATCAGGAAACATAACAATTTTTTAAGACACGAACTCAATAGGCCCTTAATGAGCCTTACTTTGCGCTGGGACCTGGCTGGGTGGGTGGGTGTGGGGGCAGGGCTGGAAACCACAGCTCTCTGGTAGAAGCCCCGCTGACCCCCAAATCAGGCTGGAGTGGGGGTGTGTAGGTTGTTGTAGGAGGTGTCCTGACAGTCTGGGGGCCTCCCGGGGGCTGAGGAGGGCCGGGGCACTGTGCCAGAGAGGGCTGAGGTTAAGCCATCTCTGGCCTCCAATTCTAGCCTCTCCCAGGGTCCAGGTGAAGGGATGGAGGGAAGCTTCCAGGGGTGTGCTGGGCCCAGGCTCGGGCGAGTGGGGACCCTCAGCTGGGTGCTCTGGTGTCCGCAGGGCGGCTGTGCCCGTTCCGGCACGACAGAGGGGAGAAGATGGTGGTGTGCAAGCACTGGCTTCGCGGCCTCTGCAAGAAGGGCGACCAGTGCAAGTTCCTGCACCAGTATGACGTCACCAGGATGCCCGAGTGCTACTTCTACTCCAAATTCGGTTGGTGACGCCCCTTCCTGATGCCAGCCCCCGACCCCGGAGGGTAGCAGTGGGGGCCGTGGGGTGGGAGGAAGGCTTGGGCGCAGGACCCAAAGGAGGCCTCGCGCATCCCAGGTGGCAGACCAGGCCTCCCTGAGCCGCCGGTGCCTGCTTCTCCCACCCCCTAAAGAAACCAGAACTGGCCTCTGCTCCTGGCTTAACTGCCCCAGCAGACTCAGGCACACACAGCCCATCCCGGCAAGGGGAGGAGAGGGTGGGGCTGGAATCAAAGGCTGAATTGTTTCCCTCCCCAGAACCGGCTAATCGCACAGCCAGACTGGCTGTCTGGAAATAAGCCTGGAACAGGCCATCTCTCAAGCCCCCGGGAGTGGGTCCGAGCTAGCGTTTCCCAAACAGCAGACCCATTCACCGTGCTCGCGGTCCCTACGGAGCACCTGCCCCATCGCCACGCACCGTCGACCGCTCTTTCAACCGTTTTGCTATTCTTAATTCTTCTTTTAGAAGAAAATGTTACATTGCTTCCATCAATGGAAAACCAGCATCGCTTATTGGCAGTAGAAAGTCACTGTAAACACACGATCGTGAGCTTCAGAAGTGTGGTCCCTGAGATGGTCTTGTGTGGTCAGATCTGGACCCACGCCCCCCCTCCCTCTGACTCATGTCTTTGTCCTCCGAGGGGCTACATAGGGGAAGCCACAGCCAATTCTCGCCTCGTTTATGAACAGATTCTGTGAATGTGTTTCAGGTCTTCGCTTTCTCAATAAAATTTTACAGCTCAGTGCTTTACAGAGTTGGAAGGAGCCTTAAGGATTATCTAGTCCAGTGGTTTTCAAACTGTACTCTGAAGAGGGACTTGGAGGGAGAGAGCTGGACCAGTCTCCAGGGACACCTCTGTCTGAGGCCGCTTGCCTTTGAAGCGTTGGGGGCTGTGGGCAGCTGTTTCTCATTAGTGTTGATGGATGGGGGGTCCTGGGTATCCAGGAAGAAGGCAAACCACCCTCCCCATCCCAAGGTCAGCAAGGGCTTCCCCTAGGCTCAAATTCTGTTTCCTGCCTGCTCCCTGGACTTGAGAACTGGCTATGGCAATCCAGGAGGGATGCCTGCATGTGTCTCTTGTAAGGAAGGACAAAGTTTATCTGGAGCCTGGCTCCCCTTGGTCATCACCTAAAATTTTTATTTTAAAATGCCACTTTATTCTTTCAGTAAGCCCTGGTCGGTTTCCTTTTGGGGATCGGGTACTGGGCTGGGGCCTGGATATGGGAATAGGACCAGGTCCCCTTCTGCCCTCAAATAATTCCCATTGTGAGGGGCAGACATATACATCAGTGGTTACAATATGTAACCTGTATTTTTGATCTTGGAGTTAATGAATGAGAGATCTCTTTCTAATGTCAAAGTGTACTTATCATTTTTATTGGGAGTGAATTGTTTTACTTTAAAAATGTTGTTGGGGAGATGTAGGAGTGGGGAAGGGCAGTTGAAACGGGCTAGGAAGCCCCGGTGGGGACTTCGGCTCTGCTCTTGATTGTGCTCGTCCAGAAGGTACCTGGGGCTGGTGTCTGTGACAGGCGGACCGCAGGGTGAGGGGCGGGTGCCACCTGCTGGCTGAGAGAGGAGCGCAGAGCCGGCACCCAGGCCAGGGCGGAAAGGCAACCCCGGTGCACTGACTTCCCAGGGTCTCCCTCTATTAATGTTCGCCAGCCCAGCGGGGGATGTCACTTCCATTCCTTAGGAGGATGGAGCCCAAAGTTAGCACCGTACAAGTGCAAGGTGGGAAGCACTTGCCAGCTCTCTACTGAAGCCTGCTCATGGTTCCTTCAGAGCCCCGGGTCCCTAAGGGAAGTCTAAGAGGGCCCTTCCAGCATCTCCTGGTGGTCTACGCAGACAGGGCTGGCTGCTCCTAGGAGAGCAGGAGTCTTGGTCTAACGCACAGATTAGAGCACAGGCTTAGAGGAACTGCAGGTGTCCCTCTGCACCCCGTTTGTCTTCATCCCGGTGGTGACTGTGAGGCAGTATTCTGCCCTTCTTGGCGTTTCCCCCAGAAAGAACTGCACCCCGGGGTTTGGAAGCAGTGTAGGTCTCATTGTGGAGACAGAGAGAGGGCTTTGACCACAACGCATGGCAACATCTCCGTTCAGCGTCTACGTCCTCTTGGGCCTCTAGCTCTGGGACTCCCCTTTCCCACCTCTCCCTGTCCCTTCCTCCTTAGTAGCCCCTAAGCACCTCCAGTTCCAGTCCCTCCTCCTGGATGTCTGGCCCTGCCCCAACTCTTCCAGACATGGCTGCTCACACCCAAGCCCCGTTTGGCAAATACGATTGGGATCCAGCTTTCTTAGGTTGCAGGAAGGATTAGAAATATCTTGCTGTCTTCAAGAAGCTGCTGATGACCAGAAGGCAGGCAGGTGGCTTATATGCAAGGGGCCAGGTCAGTCTAGTGTCAGGAGGGCGGAAGTGACCAACAAGACGAGCCTGTTTATGCACAAAGAACACTGGACTTTTCAGGTGATTGCAACAACAAGGAATGTCCCTTTCTCCACGTGAAGCCGGCTTTCAAGACCCGGGACTGTCCTTGGTATGACCAAGGTTTCTGCAAGGATGGTGAGGCCCTGACAGAAGAGGGAGCCAGGGGAAGGGGAGTGGGGTGGGGGTCTCCTGCACATTCCTGATGTGGCCCCACGGGGTTTGCTCCGGGCTGAAGTCCCGACAGCAAGCCTCTCCGTAGCTCTCCCCAGGCCCCCTCTGGTGGAAGCCCTCCGTGGCACCGGATGGGCTGCTTGGAGCAGGCTCACTTAGGTTCACATCCCAGTGGCTTCAGAAAGTTTTGACTGCGTGACCTTAAACAAGTGACCTCACTTATGAGAAGGGGAGCAGCTCCCCCAGAGGCTGCTGGCTGGGCGGATGTAGGACCCTCTGGGAAGCCCTGGGCGTCGGGTCTGGCTCGTAGGAGACACTCAGTTCTCTCCTCTGTGCCATCACCTGGGGGTGTCCTGGATGTCACGTAAGGACATTTCACTATCTCTGTATGGCCAAACTTAGAGGCAGGGCTCTGAGCACCAGCATCCTTTCTTTTCCTGTGTCTTCAGGTGTGGTGTTCTTACTGAGTTCCTGGAGGCCACAGTTTGGGGAGGATTATGGGGAAGGAGGGATTATGGGGAAGACGTGGTTGGCTGGCCTTTGCTCAGCTGATCCTTTCATAGGTAAATAAAAGGGAGTGCACTGCAGTCCACAGCCATGTAAGTCCTCCAGGACAGTGTGCTGGGACGCTGCAGGCCCTACTGTTTCAGGACTGGCCAGCTGACACCTGCCCCCGCACATTCCAAGGGCCCTCGCCCATCTCAGTCACATGCCGGGAAGTCGCATTTCGCGGCCGTGTGGGAAGGACAGGAAGGAGATTTCTACACCCCTGCGAAAGGCCGAGCCTGTGACCGTCCAGGCCCCGTGGTCAGCTTTATCGTGTGTTTCCCCCCTTGCTGAAGATCCTTCTGACCCTTTTCTGTCTGCCCAGCAGGTCCCCTGTGTAAATACCGCCACATCCGCAGGGTCATGTGTATTAACTACTTAGCTGGCTTCTGCCCCGAGGGATCCAAATGCCAGTTTGCACAGTAAGTGTGATTCTCCTGAGCGCTGGGCCCACTCTCTGGCTTTGAGGTCTCAATCCTTCTGTGCCTTCACCGGCCCAGGTGGGAAGCGAAGTGTCCGGCAAGCACCCGCCCACAACGTTTTCCATGCACCCTTCACCCTACGCCCAGCCCTCCCTCCTGGGCAGCGTCCTCAGCTGCGCTGAACTCTAACCCACCCTGTTCGCGTGTGTTCATGCTGGGGATGGGCGCAGAGCTCTTCACAGACTTCCAGAAACCGGAGTAGAGGTTAGCACCTGCCCCGCCAGCCGCCATCCTCTGCAGTGCTCCCTGGCTGGGGTGCGGGGTCCTGCGACAAGAAATCTGCAGCAGGCGGGTGCCCAGCATGTTAACGAGCAGGCGATGGGGGAGTCAGAGCCCGGCTCTAATTGCCTCTCTCTCCATACTTCCCTCAGTCCCAAGATGAATCTTTTATTCAACCCAAGTTACCTGAAGGTGAGTGCAGGCAGGCAGGGGGCAGGGCAGACGTGGCTCACTCCTTTACTGCTCACGGTCCCGGGGGGAGCTCTCGGTCCCTTGGCACTGCACTGTTCCCAGCTGCCCTCACCTCATCGGCTCCGAGGACCCACCCTGGGAAAGGCACACATGCATGGTTGTTCCTCCCGGACCCCCTCCGACCTCCATAACCTCTGCTTCGGGCAGGACTTCTCAGCCCGAGGCAGCCCTCCTCCTCAGCTGGTTTGTATTAGGGAAAGTGGGGTCCAGCTGAGGACTTGTGGTTCTGAGTGGTTCTACACCAGGGCCATCCTGGTCGTGCCCGGTCCCTGCGGAACAGGTGCTCTTCCTGTTGATACCAAGCCTCCTCCCCGGGTCCGCAAACCACAGCCTCTGGGGCCAAATCTGGCCCTTAGCCTGTTTTTGTACGATCTGGGACCTAAGAATGAATATTTACTATTTGGTCTTCCACAGAAGCAGCTTGCTGATCCCTGGTCTGGGTGACTGGAGGTCAGGCAGAAACCAAAACAGGAGCGCGAACGCTGGGGGTCGCTACTGAGCTCTTGCTAGTGGTTCTGCACCCAGTCAATTAGCCAAGGGCCCAGCGCTGGGCGGGGAAGGCGCTGGCACGGGAGGAGGGCGGCCCCTGCTGGCTCCGAGCGGGATCGTTGGTAGAAGGTGGGAAGCCATCTTCAGGGGAATTCACAAGCCCGTTTCCGACTTCCACCAAAAAGTATGCTTTGGGCAGTAAGCTGTAAACGAAGGCGTTTCACAACCCAGTTTCAGCCTGAACACCCGGCCAGAGCCCCGGCCCTCTGTGTAAAGCTGCCTGGTTTGCACAGAGGGAGTGTCTGCAGTGTTTCCTCTTGCCTTCACTTTTATCTGCAGCTCATTAGCCGGCCACTGGGTTCAGCACCTCCGACTTCTGCCTGGAAATCTAAGTCCCCTTCCCGGACAGACTGCCTGCTCCTCCACCCTCAGACGGGGCCCCAGGAGCACCTGGTCACCTACTTCTGGGGCTCAGCGCTGGGGCAGGGCCCATGCTACAGGGTGAGTGATGACAGGGGAGAGGTGATTAGCAGGGGAAAGTGAGGCTCCTTTTCTGCAACAGATGATAAAACCAGACTGAGGTTTAAGAGTGAATTCAGACTGAACGGGGGAATTTAGCTGGTAAGCCAAACGTTCCAACTGTAAGGTCTCGATAACCTAACCTTATTTGCACCGCCTACTAGACAAGGCTGTTTCTTTAAACAAGTAGTGAGTTAAACATCTCTCATTCCCTAGTTTGCTGCCTAAAGATTCCGAGTTATTTATACACAATGGTCTTAAGATTTGGCAGGGGCAGGGGACAGTTTGGTAAGGAAGGCAGTGTCACACCTGGAATTTCTTTGTTGCTGCCTTCTGGTTCATCAGGAAGAAAATCCTTGTTTTATACCTTCATGAGATTAGCCTCCGAACTGTCCTGACCCTTGACTTCCCTATTCTGCAAGAGAAAGGCCCTATTAGGGTAAGAGGTGAAGGAGGCAGAGGGCTTGCCTTCCTCACACAGTGGACTTCCTGGCCCTCAGACGTCCATAGCCCTGTCCTTTGGGATGGTGATGCCAGGCTTGAATCTCAAAGGTCTTTTTCAGGCCAGAAACGGGGGCTTCACTTACAAGTGGAATCCATCACGTCCCTCAGAAAGCCAGCCAACCATCTCCTGCAGTGCCTGAGACAGTTCAGGATTTTTCTCTTGGGATTTGAATTTACAGAAAGTCACGCCATTAACTCTTTCTTTTAGTGCTGAAAAATGAGCCATCGTGCCAGTAAGTTAAGACTCAACGGATAGGAGTCACAGAAAAATGAACCCTGGTCTGTCTAGAGAAACGGAAGACCTTCTAGTGAAGATGCCCAAAGACCAGTCTGCTGGAGTCTGTCCCCTGCGAGCCCACTGCCAGCCTGAGCAGGGAAGGAGATGCAGAAGCAGCCTGCTGCCTGCAGGTGTGTCTCTTCTCCTGTAAGTGAACGGGCTACTAAAAATACACAGGCAGATGGACTGTGGCAGGAACGAGTTATTCATAAAGTGGGGGAGCAAAGCGTTCGCAGAACCAAAAGTGCAAGCACACGGCAAAGTCGGCATACTCCACTCAGCTCTCAAGCTGCTGCTGCAAATCCTAGGAGGCCGGGGCAGTTCCTGCACGTGCGGTCTCGACTGCTGCTATAAACTTGCAATTAAATCAAGTGGTTTCTCTAGCATGACAGCTGCTCTCCTGTATGGCTTCCTAAAATTTAAGACTAGATTTCGTGGATGCCTTACGTGAGGAATTATGGGGAGGTGGATGGTACAAGCAAGGCCTGCCCCGGGGAGTAAGGAAGTGACACGGAGCATTGTCGATGTCACTGTGTAAGTCAAACATCAAACATCAATGCAAGTTAATCCTCTGGGAGGGGGCAGGGTGACAAGGCTGAGCCTTTTGGAGAAATGGAGAAGAGTGACAACCCACGGTAGCGGGAGGACTGTTCCCCCGCCCTTTGGCAGGTGGAGGCTGTGGCCTTATCCTGCCTGGAGCAGGAGCGGGAGGAGGCAGAGGGGGAAGGCAGCCTAAAGAATGCTGGCCCAGGAGACAGATTCAGGGGGTCTGAGCACCTGCCCCAGCCTGGGCTGCTGTGACACACCCACAGAGCCACGGGGACAAACTCCTTCACCTCCTCAAGCCCGTTTCCTCATTCTAGGAAACGAGTGTGACAACAGCACCTGCCTCGCGGGGTGAGCTGAGGATAAATGCGAGAAGGCGGGTCAAGAGCACCGCACGGACTTGGCACCCACCTGGCAGCGGGACTTCAGCATGGGTTGTGGGGGGCCCTGGCTTGTTTCGAGTTCAGAATGTGAATGTAGTGTCATGCCTGCCACAAGCGGTTTTAGGAAAGCTGTTACTATTTCATTCATTCCTACTACGTGTCAAGACTTTGCTGACATTAACAGAGGCAAGACTTCTCACCAAATCTCTGCAAAGTAAGTGTAATTGTCTGCATTTTATAGTCTGGATCTCCAGTGAAGTTAGACAACTGACCCGAGGCCACACCTACCCATTCCACAGGTGAGGGCCTGGAAGAGGCGAAAAACCAGAATAATGTTTTTTATTTTTTGAAAACATTCCGGTTATGAACAGTGGTGGTAACATGCAGGAGGAACCCCGTGGGGGTGGAGCAGGTATGGAGAGTAGTTAGGATCATGTGTAACAGATGTGATGACAACTGTGGCAGCAGATAGGGATTCCCAGAGTATGAAACACCCCACTGATAATACAACAAAATGATTTTACCAGCTGAATATTTTAATATAGAGAGAAAAAAATACAGTCTTCCCAGGAAATGCCACAGTCCACACTGTCACTCAGGAGTCAACTCCGCGGGGAGCAGGGCTAGCCCAAGCTCCGCAGCGCACGCGAGGGTGCCGAGGCCTGCACAGTTCCAGCCCGCAGTGGTGCATGCTTCCCTTAAGTCTTCTCCAGGACGGAGAGGAGCCCCGTACCCCCGTTTAGCTCTTCTGCAAGGGGGGGTGGGAGGGGGGCGGGCACTTCTGGTAAGGAGGTCTCGGGCTAATTTCCACGCCTGGTGCTGGAAGCCTCGTTCAGGGCCACGTGCAGCTGTCCCTGGAGCAGAATCTATGCCTGGCTGCTTAGCTCCCAAGGCTGGGGAAGACGTGGAGCAGGATTTTAAGAGAAAATTTAGGAGGCTGTCTAAAACTGAACCACGCTAAGAGCTTTCTTTACTCCTTTTCCTCTTGGCTTTGTGAAGAGAGCATCAGCTACCCTGGCTTCCGCACGGAGAGCACACTCACTCGTCTACACCTCCAGTTTTGAAAGGAATCGCTCCTCTTTCTGGAGGCGGCCTGTATGTAACCTGCCAGCTCACACACACAGGTAGGTCTGTCTGTGCGAACAAACTTCTCTTGGAGGGACGGTTGTGTATATGAACAATGAATGTCTCCTCATAAGGCAAGCTGACGTCAATATTGCAAACATGATCCCTGGATCATGCTGCATTTGTTTAGATCTGAATCTAGGAAAAGAATTAATTTGTTTTCAGCTGACCTCAACTCTCTGAAACTGTTCTCAACACCATCAGGAAATCCTTAAAGACTCAATAAAAGGTCTTCAAGGATTTTCCTCCTCTCACCCGCAAGTGGCCGCAGTGAGTAGATAGGGAACCCTTTCCCTCCGTTATTTTGTGGCCATAACCAAGTAATTCCAGAATCTAGACAAACTGCCGATGGTTTTTTTCAAAGTCACTCACATCATTTTAAGAATCCATGCTTAGTATCGAATTCAAAGCAATCAGTTAAGATTTTTTGCTCTTTCCTACTACATGTGAATTAGGAGTCTTGGTACCGATCATGTCAAACTAAAAATCCTCCTATTAATGGAGGAGCCCACTTTTGTCTTAAACTCGGCAATACGATGGATACAGAGAGCCCTCTAGGACTGACAGCCCGTTAGTTCATTCTTCAGGAACTTATTTTCAGGCATGTGAAATATTTACCATGCTACAACGGAGCTTAATTTTTTCATTACGTTTAGCATTCTGACTATGACGGTACTGCAGAAATGTTCCTGATAAAAATCTTGGAGGGCTACAAGCTAACTCTTGTGGCCACTACTGCACTTAAATGTCGTGCTTAGGGGGGCAACATTAGGGCACTTAAGGTACTAAGTCCAGAATGGCGGCTCCTACTGAAATGTCTAAACCCCCAATGTTTTAGAGCGATGATCCCCAGTCGTCTTCATCCCTCTGACACAGGCGACCGTGAGGTGTCGTGCTCGTCTAGGGCTGGGGCCGGCTTGCCTTCTGAAAAGGGCCAGAGAGGAACCATTCTCAGCTCTGCAGGCGCTGGGGGCTCTGCCTGCCTCTGCAGCGTGGAGGCAGCCACAGCCAGCACCTAGCCGAGGGAGCAGGGCTGTGTTCCAGGGAGACATCACAGAAACAGGCCGGGTGCTGGCTCGTGCCCGTGGGCTGTCGTGGTCTGCTGACCCCTGCTGCAGGGGGCCGGGGAAGAGGACGCAGCGGAGCGGTCATTCTCATCTACTTTTGTACCCTGAGCGTTTCGGATGTAGAGAAAGGCCATAGCGGAGGTGCAGGGAGAATCCCTCCCTGACTGTCTCTCTCAAAGGGCGTTAAAGAATGGCCACAAAGCCACTCCAAAAGGAGACCTTGTTTTTGGAGTTCTGATGACATTCTCAGTCATTAAAATACAGACCTGTAGTACACTCTCCCTCAACCTTGAGTTTTCCCCTATGGGGAATTCTAGTGTACCTTTTCCTTAACCATGAGGATTTGAGGCAGAATTAAATTACTCCCACGGTGGATAATTAGAGAGGGAGAAGGGGACAGGGGATGGGAGAATAGACATGGGAGACAAAGCAGCTCAGGTTATGGGAAGAGAGAAGGACGATGAGGCAACACACAAATGTTGGCCCTCAAACAGCACGCCTGCTTTTCTGTCATTCTGAGGGAGCTGGAACAAGAGAAATGGCACGCCTGGCTTCTGGCCTGAGGACATCACAAGCAAGGCTGACACAGACAGAAGGACTGACAGGTAGGGGCATATCTATATATGATACACAGTCAACGCCCGGTGTTGGAAAAGTCATCCAGCTGTGCTATCCCAATTAAATTCCCTCACAGCCTTTCACAGTAGCCAAGTTTCTCTCTAGGGACCAAAGCAGAAGTCATACAATTTAAAAATCGCTGAAAATTTTGATGAGGGAAGACACAAAAAACCCCTCCAGCCAACAAGACTAACAAAGTGAAAGGAATATTTGATTATTTCACTGAAATTCTTGGGAGGGGGGAGGGTGGGATTCTGAAAAGAATCGCATCTGCTCACTATGATGCTTAAGATGTAGACAAGGTGATTCAACATCCTGCTTAGTGTGCTGTTTTAATCAGCTTAAAACTATCTGCCAAGGACGTTTCATGGGCTCCCCTGCAACTCTGAGCCCCAACCCTGCTTTTTGTGCCTCACATCTGCCAAGGCCTGGTCAGCGACCCAAGAGAGCCTGCCCATTCCCAAGGGAAAGGGCCTGATGTGTCCCGATTTTCCGCCACTTCAGACACTACACTGAATCAGCGTACATGTAGCCCAGTCTCTAGTTTAGATGAATGGCAAAATGCCAAGACACAGAGAACAATTTTCGGGAAAGATTTAAAATTGAGATGCTAGTTTTTACTGAGTATTAGGAAATAAAAAGCTTATTTAAAAATTTTAACACTGAACTCTGTCATCTTCTGAATTTTTTTTCCAGTAACTTTGTCTCTTTTGAGAACAAGCCAAAGAAATATGCAGACAGCACCAGATCTGTCCACATTTAAAAAAACATGCTTCCTGTATAATTATTAGATTCCAGTAATTTTATTCTTTTCACCCTCCCCTGCCCCCACCACAAGTTTACGCTGTTAAATACACGCTGCAGCTGTCTCCACCGCGCTCTCCTTGGAGCTGCAAAGCTTTCTTAAGTGGTTTCAGGTCAATGTTACTTACGCCAGCGCTGCAGCTCTTTGGATAAACAGAGATAAACGTAAGGTCCCAAAGGCCACGCTATTGACCGTTCCTATCTCTTGCCTCTATCGCTCATTCTATTTTTGTTTTAGGCACCACAAAATGTTTCTGCCTCACTTTCTTCAGTCTCATTTTAGAGAAGGGAAAAATAACCTCCAGCATCACCTCCGTGATCCCTTCGGGCAGGTAAAGCTTTCAGGGAAGGCCTTCTCCCAGTGAAAGGAACGACTCGAGGTTTCGGGCATCTCCATTTTTGAGGGGATGATCAGAAAGGAGCTCCTCTTTCTCACCAACGGCCAACTGTGTTATACCGGGGCCGGCGGCTACGCCCTGCTGCTCAGCATGGAAGCCTGCTGCGGACACACTTCCGCTGCCTGACCAGCTCTCCTATGTGCTGGCACTGAATTAGCCAAAACATCCAATTACAGTCAAATCTGATACTTTAAAAGTTTGTGAATTCTATTGGTCTCCAGTATGAATGGTTATTTTATACTTTTACACTGAAAGTTTTCATTTGAAAGTGGGCTTCTTTCTTAAATTGCAGAGGAATACTGGGCCTTTCCTGGTAGTTTTTCCTCATTTTTAACAATTAGGATATATTTTTATAAACCAATACTTTAAAGAATGAGCAAAAGTTATTTGGAGCTAACAGAACAATGAAATCCAGGCATTTCCTTTCTGGTAAGATCTGGTCCAAGCTGAAAGTCTTACCTCAAAAGGTGTTTGCTTTTTAATGTTGAAAGTAGATTAACTAAAACAGCTCTAAGCCTCAGACACACTGACGAGTGACAGCTGTGTTCTGTTTAGCCCCCTCTCTTGTGAGGTATAAAGCTATCTGGTTTCAATCTTAAGAAAGTTCTCAGGTAGGAATTGAGTGACCAAGGAGAAGAGCCCTATCTTTTAACAAGCAAACAGCTTTAGGGAAAAAACACAAGCTTACCAGATCTCCAGTGACAGCCTTAAATGGAGCATAAAAGCAGTTATGTAAATTCTAGTCAAATCTTATAAGGCCATTTATATAACCAAAACCTCTAAGGAAAAAACCCCAGAGCCTCAGGCAACAGCTCATTCACTAGGGCAAGTCAGATAATGCCAAACTGACATACAGAAAGCAATTCGGAAAATCCCCCGGAGGTGCCTATGATGGGATGTGACCTGTAATTTAGGCTGAAAATACAGAACAGCTTACTCAGATGCTTGAAACTCCAGCTACAACAAAGGACAAAGTATCCTGCAAACAGCATCGTGATGCCACCGACTCCACACTTCACGGTGGTGCTGCACCTGATCCAGCCTGTTTAAAAAGAAACAGGTCTGTCAGAGTGAAATGTAAGTAGTAGGGGCCCTTACCTGCGAGTTATTCAAGTTATCCAGTTAGCTTAGGCAAAGGAACTGTAATGCAAAGAATTTACGTATCACTATACATATATTTTAAATAAACGAAAAGGCTAAAACCCAGAAGTCCTTAATTTTAATACACTTAAATCAGTCTTATTTTGGGGAGTGGTGTTAACTTGAGGTTTAGAGTCCTCCCAGCTTTGGGTGAGGGAGAGACGGGGAGGTGGCGGAGAGGCAGGGGTACGAATTAAAGCAATGAAAGCTGTTCAGTACATGGCAGCTGCTAACGCATTAGCTCCGGTGCTTTCCATCAGGTCAGACTCCAGAATGAAGAGAGACGGACAGAAGAGCAGGAAGACTACAAAGTTGTCTCCTTTTTTCTGGAGCCTTGCTGTAACAGCCACAGCTAAAGTGAGACAAAGTTCTCCAAATGCCTGGAACCAGCAGCAGAGCCCAGCAGTCAATGACTCCAGCCTCACCTTTTTGGAGAGCTCCCAAGAACCTCATTAGAGAGAAGTTGGAGGTTGTGAGTCTGGTCGGGGGTTCCAAACTCCTCACTGCCGTCGAACTTCTTTCCAACAAAGGAACTAGGGTTCCAAACAGAAGTCACTGTCATAGTTCATCTAAATTCATCCTCTTCCCCGACACTCAGTGCCCAAAGTTCCCAGGGCGAGGCTGCAGGAAAAGTGTATTCTAAATCGGTAGATTAATGTCTGCATTGGGCTGTGGCTAACTTCGAAGTTCTGCAAGTCAAAGCAGTCTATTCCAGGTCAAAAAGAGGTTCCTCAACAGACGAAGGGTCCCTGGGGGTTAAGACCTAGATCCATCTGTGATCTGATGAATACAGTGCCCAGACGACCTACGTGCACATGCTTAATGAAACGACTCATTTGTACCTCCTATCATCCACTAGACATTGTAGCAAAAAGCCTGACTTTCCACTGTAATGTTAGCTACCTGTCACCACGACCTACAGCTGACAGGCGTGTTCTATTATCACGGCTGCTGACCCGCAAACACGGCTTATTTACGTTCAATATGTGAGTAAAGTTGAGCCAGAAAAGAGGGTTTATGCTATGTATTTACATTTGCCCTGCGGTTATTCTCCATGTTTAATGACACAGAAACCTCTAGTTCTCTGGTCTTGGTTCATCAAACCAAGGATAAAGGATAAATTAAGCAAACATTTACAACAGGTTTCACAACAGGTTTAGCAGGTATGGTAAAAGTTGCTGTAGATGTTTAAAAAAAATTCAAATGATCATCAATCTATTAACAATGAAAAGAACCAGGTAGGCTTCCAAGAATCACACAGATATTTCCTTGTAAGGTGAAGATTACTGTCTTAAAAAAGAAAGCATGACATAACCCATTCATGCTGGAAAAAATGTGCAGATGGGGGAGAAACTGCGCCGCGAAACCTGCAATTGTACAACCGCTTTCTCCGCAGGGTCAGGAACTGGGTGGCTCCCCAAGTCTTTCTCCAGCTAGATGAGCCAACTTACTTCACTTTGGCTCAGTACCTTACATGAAAGACACCACACTTCAGGCCCTGAGCTGGAATTGTAAACAGCCCAAGGCCCAGGAGAGTCTAGCTCAGAACCCACGAAAGCCCCATTATGGTTTTTTTCCACGTCCTTTGCTGGCCGCCCGGGTACTCTGGGTTCCGATCTCCATCCCTTTGGGACTGGTTGTGAGCCTCACCTGCCATTACCCACCGCCATCCCTCTGCTGCCTATCTTTCAGACACTGTCCTTGATCTGCCAACATTAATGTCCCTGCATTTCAAACCTAGTGACAGTGATCCCACTAACACAAACACTGGAAATCCTCATCCGCCCTTTACACCTCTAACATTTCCTATCGCCCCTCTGGCCTGGTCAGAAACCCAGAAGTATGACTTGACTTACCTCTCATGTCTCTGGCTGTCGGTTACTCATATGCTTCTTTCTAAAACACCCCCTTTTATGGATTCCTTTGGAGAACAGGGGATCTACCCCACCCTGGCCTATCAGATTCCTGCTCAAGTCCTGATCCTGACCATTGTGAGCCCCCTCCCCACAAGTGCAAACATCTCACATGGATACCGTACTGAGATCCCTCTCCTCTAAGAGAGGGTAGGGCAGTGACACCACCTCAGAGTTGTCATGAGGGTAAAAGGAGGTATTATCAGGCACCTAAGTACAATGACAAGAAACAGCCATCATTTGATAAACATTATTAGTTCCCTCACTTTTTCCTCCAAAAATGAGAAGTGGGTCTGTCAAGGACATGCCTTAGCACTACAGAAGGTAGAACAGAAAATACAGAAGCACTTTCACTTGCTAGAGATTTCGTATGGGCTGCAGGTGTTTATGCAAATGAAAAACAGAAACACAGAATCAACACCCCTGCGTCTAGCTGTGGTGTATCTTCCACAGCGTGGTTTAGTGGAAAGGTTTAAACCAGGCCCCGGGAGACTGGGTTCTACTTGCAGCTCTACCACTTACTGGCAACATGACCTTGGACAAATCACTTATTATCTCTCCACCTGTTTCATCATCTGCAAAACAGAAATAAAATCACTCTGTGCACCTCTCAGAGCGGTGAGGCTAAAATCAGAAAATAGATGAAACCCTCCGAAAACCACAAGGCAGCACTAGTGCTAATCAGTGAGCTACTGAGGCAGTTGAAGAAGATGTAGCGTTAAGCTAGCAATGCTCTCTCCTTAACACACTTCCATTCTGAAACCTTTAGAAAGGGATAATTAAAATAGAAAAAAAATGTTTCTCAGAACAAACTGCAGTCTAGTGAATATGTGATCATTTACAAAATATACCGGGCTGGTGGGGGGGGGAATATATTCCTTTCGGAAGAGATAGGACAAGTGTTTCAGGTTCAAGCCTGTTCTGAGTGGCTACAGGTCTCCTGTCAAAATACACCTAAAGCATCAGTCTCCCAAGGAAATAGAAATAAGAGGAACAGATAAACAAGTGGGCTGAGCCTCTAAGTGCGACTCCCTTTAGAGGCTGCTACGCGCTGGCTGTGCACGAAGACTGTTGTGGGGTGAGTCGTTTTTCCCTGGGAGTGAGGACTGTCGAGAGTGGCCAAAATGGAGGACGCAGAGCTCACCTTCTGTCACGAGCACACCCAAACCACAGCTATCTGCAGAACAGTCATCGATGAAAAAGACTGGAACCTACCAGAAAAGATCTTCTATGGGCGACATAAAAAATGACCACAATGAGGAGGGTAGGAGGGACGGACCTGCAGTACAATCGAATCCCGTATCCTGAAGTGGGTGACTCCCGAACTGGAGAGTAAGTATTTTGCAGAGGCCCTCCCACAGGAGAGTTCTGAGCCCCACTTCGGCTCCCCAGCCTGGAGTCCTGCACCAGAAAGACAAGCCCTCAGAGCACTTGGCTTTGAAGGCCAGTGGGGCTTAACTGCAGGCGCCCCACAGGACTGGGGGAACAGAGACTTCATGCTCAAAGGGCGCACACCAAAACCTCATGTGCACTAGGACCCAGGGCAAAAGAAGAAATTTGATAGGAGCCTGGGCCAGGTCTACCTGCTGGTCTCGGAGAGTCTCCTGAAGGGGCCAGTGACTGTGTGGCTATGGCTCACCCCGGGGACCCAGAAGCTGGTGGCAGACATACTGGGGAACATTTGGCCCTGTGACCACAGTTGATGTTGGTAGCTGACATCTTGGCTCATTAGCTCTAAGACCCGGCCCGACCCAACAGCCTGCAGGCGACAGTGCTGGAATGCCTCAGGCCAAATAACCTAACTGCACTGGGACACAGCCCCACCCATCAGCAGACAGGCTGCCTGAGGACTGAACAGCCCTCTGGGCTGGCCCCTAGACATGACCTAGCCCACCAGAGGGCCAAGACCCAGCTCCACCCTGCAGTGGACAGGCTCCGGCCCCGCCCACCAGGAAGCCTGATAAGCATCTAGACCAGCCTCATCCACCGGGGGCAGACAACAGAAGCGACGAAACCACCATCCTGCAACCACCTGGGCCCTGGCCAGGTCCACGAGCAGGCCAGTGCGACCTCAGGACACCTCGGCCCCGAAACCCAGCTGTGCCAGAACTGACTCCCCCCCCCAACCCCAACAATCTGAAATAAGCGATGGGATGTTGGGGCCCTGCAGCCAGACTCCAGGAACCAGCTCTGTTTGTCCGCAGCCCGGCACTAAGCCCAGGGTCTGGCTTCACCTGTCAGTGGGTGGGCACCAGGCACAGTCTTCGAGACTCTGCCTCTGCCCACCAGTGAGCCAGCACAGCCCAGGGGGCCCTAGGATTCCACAGCCAGCCGCCTCATGACCAGGCCCCACTAAATGGCAGCCAGCAGCATCTGCACAAGGCAGGACCTGGCAAGCACCTAGACTACCTACAGAACCCACCACAACAGGACGCATGCAGGCCTCTTACGGTGAAGTCCTGGAGCAAAGCTTGGGTGACGAGTGGGGAGTGCACTGCTGGGACACACGGGATGCCTCCCACAGAGGGCCACGTCCCCAAGATCAAGAAATGGAACTAACCTACCATGTACATAAAAATACAAATAGCAAGTCAGACAAAACGAGGCAGCAGAGGAGTATGTTCTAGATGAAGGAACAAGATAAAACCCGTGAAGGAGTAAGTGCAGTGGAGACAGGCAGGAGAAAGAATTCAGAGTAATGATTATAAGATGATCAAAGAACTCAGGAGGAAAATGGATGCACAATGTGAGATTTTTAACAAGGAGTTAAAAAACTATAAAGAACAACCAAAGAAAGATAAAGAATACAATAACTGAAATGAAAATACACTGGAAAGAATCAACAGTAGACTAAACGATTCAGAAGAACGGATCAGTGAGCTAGAAGGCAGAGTAGTGGAAATCACTGCCACTGAACAGAAAAATCAAAAAAGAATGAAAAGATGTGAGGACAGCTTAAGAGACCTCTAGGGCAACATCAAGCACATTAATATTTGCATTACAGGGGTCCCAGAAGGAGAAGAAAGGGCCTGAGAAAATATTTAAAGAGATGATAGCTGAAAACCTCCCTAATCTGGGAAAGGAAATAGTCACCCAAGTCCCGGAAGTGCAGACTCCCACACAGGATCAACCCCAAGTGGAACACACCAAGACACACTGTAATCAAATTGACAAAAATTAAGAGTAAAGAGAGAGTACTAAAAGCAGCAAGGGAAAAGCAACAAATAACAGACAAAAGATCTCCCACGAGACTATCAGCTGATTTTTCAGCAGAAACTCTACAGGCCAGAAGGAAGTGGCACAATGTATTTACAGTGATGAAAAGAAAAAACCTACAACCAAGACTACTCTACCCAGCAAGGCTCTCATTCAGATTTGAGGGAGAAATCAAAAAGCTTCACAGACAAGCAAAAGCTAAAACAATTCAGCACCACCAAACCAGCTTTACAACAAATGTTAAAGGAACTTCCCTAGGTGAAAAAGAAAAAGCCACAACTAGAAACAAAAAGATTGTGGAATGAAAAAGCTCACTGGTAACAGCATACAGTAAAGGTAGGAAATCATCCACACACAAAGCTAGCAGGGAGATTAAAGGGCAAAAGTAGTGAAGTCATCTGTAT